GGGTTATTATACAATCCTTTTACATTTGTACAATCAATATAACTCAATCTCAAACGTCCATTTAATTTGATGAATATGTAATTTCATAAAAGTTTTGATTGTTTCTTAATATAAAGTATTGATCATAATTAATGAACCTTATTTATCTTCCATAAAAATTTAAATTATAATAAATGAACTTTCATCATTTCCATAAATATTTTCAATTTATTAGGTTGCATTGGTTATACAAATGTGATATGTTGCATTTGAAACAATCTCTCTCTCTCTCTCTCTCTCTCTATATATATATATATATATATCAATAATATCAGTGAATGGTACCAAAGGGTCTTTGGCCTAGTGGTATGTGAGTCATTGGCCTTTTAAGAGGTCAAGGGTTCAAACCTCACAAAAAATGAGGAGGGTGTGTGAGTTTATTTGTTTTATTTGCCGTATATAAATATTATATACTTCAAAAAAAAAAAAACAATGAATGGTGATTTTAGATAGTTGACTATGGGAAAGCATGGCTCTTGCATGATCAAAAAGTTTAATTACATTTTGTCCTAAAAGAATTCATTGTATACAAAATAATGAAGATTTTCACATACGAATAATTAATCAATGAACCTAAGGGGCCATTTGCATTTTTAAAGGTGGGGGCATTTTATCAAATATGTTTAATGATGTTGTATATATTTCACATATGTGGAGATCACCGAGTTGAACGTTACAGTGTTTCGTGAGTAATTTGGATGAATAATTTATAGGATTATTCGACCCTACCCAATTTATCAAACTGGGTTTCTTACTATTTTCCTTATAGAGAAGGCAGTCATTATTCATAACAGATCAAATACTCGTTTTCATGATTTTCCAAATCCAGACTCAAACCCTGCAACAATCATGAATACAATCGTATCAAATGTTGAAAACCACACAGGTTACATCGTTTTTATATAGAAAACATGAGTAAATCATCTTCCTAGAAAAGCTGGCGATAATCGACAATCAATGGAGGAGAGCAGCGACCTGGAATAGGTTTGGTTAGAAGCATTTAGCTTAGCGGAATATTTATCAAGTTAAAAAAATTGATAGGAGGTTAAAAAGAGGTTACTGGACAGGAAGACATCAAGAGGTTTTAACCTCTTATCATCAGAACAATATGTTATAACCAGGGGGGAAAAAACAATTTGAAAGTCTTAAATTCTTATCCTATAGAGTAAGGGGCCGTTTACCTTAACACTTATCCATTAAACGTTTAACGGTAAAATTAAACTCTATCGCTTACTTACCAGGTAAAATTTTAATCTATTAAAACGACATCGTATACGAATAAGAAAGATGCAATATTACTTTATCAAAAAAAATAGAAAAGGAAAAAAGAAAAAGGTAATATCTAATCCCCTATTGAGTCATGAATCATAACAAGTTGACCAAAAAGCAACCAATGGTTTGACTCCAACAACCGCAATCAAGGGCTTTCTCGTAATTTCACACTACAAGTTGAAAAGGCTGCAACACGAACACGGAAATGGACGAAATATAGTCTGACTTGGGTGAGTGTATTTCCTCAAACGGCTCCCATCTCTCACACACTCACGCCGCCGTCGTTCCCGTCGCCGTCGCCGTCGCCGGAGTTTTGTTATCAGTCGCTGTGCTCCGGAACAAACGCACGGATACTCATATATACAATCATAGTGATCGCATTATACATCTTATATTTAAACCCTAATTTACGAGTTACTAGGATTTCATAGAACAAGTCAAAGAAGTAAATCAATAGCTATTGGAATTTGTATTTTGAGGAGATGGAGGACTCATCGGAGAGGTTAGAATCGGAGCCATCGGAAATGAAGGATGAGTTGTCTATGGAAATTGATCCTCCGTTTAATGAAAACCATGCGACAGCTGAAGATTGGAGGAAAGCGCTGCACAAGGTGGTTCCGGCGGTGGTGGTGCTTCGTACGACTGCTTGTCGAGCTTTTGACACTGAATCTGCGGGTGCAAGCTATGCGACGGGGTTTGTTGTTGATAAGCGTCGGGGAATTATACTGACTAATCGTCATGTGGTTAAACCTGGTAAGCTGACTTTTCATCTTCACATTTACCAGTGATTTCTGGTGACTGGTAAGAATAATAACTTCTACTTCCTCCACTCGTTCATTAGCCATCACTTTCCAAAATTAGCAAATGTTTAAGGATAAGTATGACCTGAGATTGAGAAACTTGAGAACATTGGATCAATTCTGAACAAAAAAATTATTGCAAAGTGGACTGTGATCGTGCAACAGATAGAGTAGCAAGTTATGAAATCTTTGCTCTTAAAGATCCTGAACAAGATGTTCTTAATTCGGAAATAAAAAGGTTCCCTTTTTAATGTTTCTTGATATTTGATGGGAAAGTAGCTGCTTTTAATGCGTCTTTTAGCTGATTTGATTATATTTTTTTTAGGTCCTGTAGTAGCAGAAGCTATGTTCGTTAATCGTGAAGAGATTCCAGTCTATCCAATATATAGAGACCCGGTGAGTTGCTTAATGTATCATTGATATCTTGTGAGATCTGTGAAACATTATATTATCTGGAAGAATTTTCTATTTGAACCAACTTGAGGGGTTCAGTACTTCGGTTTTCACAGTGTGTGCTTGTTATCATGTATGGAAGTTCGTTAATTTTGACCATTGGAAATGATATACTTGATTATCTTCTGGTAGCCGAGTGGTTTAGAGGTTTTCATAGTTGGCAGCTTGCTTTTGTATTTCTGTTCTGTGTAAAAAGGTCAGGTACTGAAACAGAGTTTCACGATCAATCTGATTTCAAAGCTGTGGTTGAAAGCATTTGATTTTTATATTATTGAAACGAAGTTAAAATCATACGGCATTTGTTTAAGATTCCCCATGTATTTGAGTTTGTTAAACAATCATGACCCAGTTTCGTTAGACTTAATAGTTACCACTATGCAGTGTATAAATAATTGTATAAATCTGTAGCTCAAGGGAACATCAGTTTTTTTGTCTTTATCATCATCATCATCGTCGTTTTTCAGGAGTACAATATCATAATGCTGGTACTTTTTCCTTTTCATTTTTCTGAATCTGCTTATCTTTTTATTTTGCAATCCAATATTTTTAAGTGCAATGAAGTAGAAAGAAAGATGATAGTGAAAAAGGAGACATTTTTTGGGATAAAGAGATCGGAATGAAATACAAGATAATCATAATAAGTTTAAGGAGCAACCTCTCTCAATATTAAAAATGTGGGGGTGGGGGAGAGCATGGAGCCCTTCGGCAGCCCTATTTACCCTACAACAATTTTTAATATCAGGAAAGATTAAGAATATGGATCTTGTAAAAAGCTAAGCTAAGCTGGAATCTTAAAGTTGTAATAAGCTCCAAGTTTGCTTCACATTCCTCTTTTACAAAGTACAAGAATGTGAGATATTCCTATTTTGCCTTCTGTGTACTTTTTTTGTTTTCCTATCAACAAATTTAAGTGGAGCCATTTTCACAAAATGATTGTGATTGATGTTATTCTGTTTTGTTTAAAACCATTTTTATGAAATATATTTGGAGCACTTTGTACATGCTGGACATGCCTATCTGGATTCATGCTGCATTGCTGAATGTCTCAGTTCAGAGTGCGATTTTGTGCATGATAATGATATTATGCTTTTGCATTTTAGGTTCATGATTTTGGATTCTTCCGCTACGATCCGGCAGCAATACAGTTCCTGAGCTATGAAGAGATCCCTCTTGCTCCTGAAGCTGCTTGTGTTGGACTGGAAATTAGAGTTGTTGGTAATGATAGTGGAGAGAAGGTATATAGTAAGATAAAGTTGATAGCTATATGAGGTTATCTTGGAAAACAAGATTTTTGATCTCAGAAGTGTGTAAAAGTTGTCCATTTTATATAATCTTTGCAAGAATTTTCATGTTCTATTGTGACTGTGATGTAGTTACCTTGAATAACATCAAAATTCTTCAAGTAACATTCAAATTTCATCAAGTTCCTTGAAAGATACAAAAAAAGTGAAAGTGACTAGTTTGAATTTTGTGTTCTATAAACCCCGACAAATTACAACCACCTAAACTTCATAGCAATCATTCTTCTTCGTAAAAGTTTCTGTGCACTTCCTCATTCCACCACCAAGTGTCTTTACTTAGATGTTTACTTCCCTACTCTATCTGACCCTCTTTTCTATCCCTCTAAATGCAAATATCCATTGCTTTCCTCATCCTATTGGATTCCACATCTACGTTTCTACACTCTTACATGTTAGTACCGTCAGCATATTTACACAAAAATAAGACAGCCGGAGGAAATTTTCGATATTTACCAACCTCACCGAAGGTGGGGAGTGTGTGTGAGTTTCATTTTCCGTATATTAAATATTGTATACTAAAAAAAAACTCTATATTGGATTATAATCTGCCAATGCATGTTTTTTTTCCTGAAGTTTGATTTTCTTATTGATGTACCTCTTTCTGTTCTTTTACTTTTACTCTTTACTATCATGTTGTACTTTAGGCTATGCTGATATACTTTCACCCTGAACTTACAGGTTTCTATCTTGGCTGGTACCCTTGCTCGTCTGGATAGGGATGCTCCACACTATAAGAAGTATGCTACCTCACAATACTTTCCTTATTTGTATTAAACAGAAATTATCTAGGTACTTTTGGTAGGGTTCTGTCAACAGTGTGTAACTAAGTTTCTGTGTCTGCTTTTGGACGACAACCATCTTTGATTTGTTTTACATTATTTTATGGCTTGTTGATTTTTTGGCACTTCTTGTTTTTTGTCTCACATCATTATTTCATCTGCATCATGATCAATGGTTTAATTTTAAATGTTTATCCATGGATGTTTCTTTGCTACTCACTTCTGTATCAGACTTTGGTTGCTGAAATTTAGTGGTCTAAAATTTTGTGACATCAAACACTTCTGTTGTACTCAGAACACCCAGGCCTTATTAGATTCATCTAGGATGACAATATGGCAGGTTCTGTACATGGAATGCTGAACCTGGACATGCTGTTTTCTTATTTTTGTTGCCCTCACCATTTATATTAAAATATTTCTTCTCAGTTACTTATGCCTGCCCCATTAAACAACCTGTAATCATTATTTTCTTAATCATCATAAAAGCTATCAAGGAACAATCACTCAAATAGGATATATGGCCGACCTTTTGAAAACCCATGAAATTGTGATAATCTTGAGAACTAATGCATCATGTGCTATTTCATATGATTTTTTCTCATCGAAGACTAGGATATAGAATATCGGTTAACATATATTTGTTTCACAATGTGTTTGTTTATGTACTTGTTTCACAATGTGAACACTTTTAGCCTGTTTGCCAAACAAAAGTTACACATAAAAAAGTTTCATATTGTGAACCACATACATATGAAGCAAACACATTGTGAAACAAATATATGTTTATCAATACATTAATTGCAAGCCTTAGATGAGAAAAATCATGTTAACAATACCTTAAGATAAAAGTTCTCACGGTTATCACAATATATGCAGTTCTCAGATGATAAAGCCTCGCCCGAGTGATACATTATCTGTCCCAAAAGAGTTGTCCTGCTTTGACTTGGCACAGCACACTTGTTGAAGAAGTCTATTTGAATGTTTATTTTCAATTTTTTTAATCATTTTGCAGTATTAGTTACTAAAAGCATGTGTTGTCCATCTAAAACTTTATACCACTAATTGGTTAGAGAAAATATGAAGGGATACACCAAATCCAATACTAAGTTATATTTAACTGAAAAATAAGCAAGGGCAAAAAGGTAAGAACAAGTTGCAAAACTACGTTTGGCTTAATGCAGTATTGTGTAGACAACCGTTGTTAGAAAGACGATGACTTTTCTACCATCAAAGACCTTGAAGCTTACATTTTATCCAGTTGAATCAAATTTCTTATGCTTATATGTCTGATTTATGTAATTGGTGTTGCTTACCTTTTATTTACTCAGGATTTGTTAATATGTGATAATACTATAATAGCTTAAAGAAAATGATTGTAAGTTTTGCCACCATTCGTCACATTTTGACAACAAGACCTTTCCTTGCTACAGGGATGGCTATAATGATTTCAATACATTCTACATGCAGGTGAGCTTCTTGTACTAATGCTATTAATTTCGGGTCCAAATGATCGAGAAAAAGTAATGTTGCATACTCGTACAATTTATGAAGCACTCCCAGCCATTGTTTGTTCATGTATTTAGTCTGCTTATCATTATTGGCTTTGTTCAAGTATGTCGGATTTCTAGCTTAAATTGTGCCTTCTCCTGCACCTTGGAATTTATATAGAGGTATGGGAACATAGTACAAAATTAACTGACATAACTATTTACCGCGCATATAAAAAAATTACAACGAACTATTTAACTTATTAGATATTAGTCACTGATCTTCAAAAATGGTAGTATAGCAGAACAGCCCTTGTAAGAGCTTACCTCTCCTATTGTAGCATTTTCAGAAACAGAATGCTTCTGTAGTTGATCCTGTAAAAGTTGTAGCTTTATCAATTACAACATGGAAGTTGTTTATTTGTATTCCTTGTCTTTCTCACAACAGGCAGCTTCAGGCACTAAAGGAGGTTCAAGTGGTTCTCCGGTCATTGATTGGCAAGGACGGGCAATTGCGTTGAATGCTGGCAGCAAGACTTCTAGTGCTTCAGCATTTTTCTTCCCTTTAGAACGAGTAAGTACAACCCAGGCTTACTTCTATTTTGACTAAATAAGAAAAGTTAATTTCTGTCGGCTTGTGGGCTCCATTTGCGCAGCAATATAAATCACAACTTATGATATTGTTCCAAGGGTCCACTAAGACAAAGTAGGGGCAAATGATCACCAAACAAAGTAGTCCACTTTCTGTTCATCTATCTTTCCCTTTCCCATTTCTACTTGACTCATTGTCTGAGTTCCTTGCTCTATTCCCTCATTTTGAAATTTGCTATATACATTTTTATCTTTCTCAGCCTTTTTCTTATGGATTTATTTCCGGGCATTAAGTGTAATAGCAGAATGGGCAAGCATATCTTCCTTCCTGATCTGTATGAGTCTCATATTATCTGTTTTTTTGCAGTTGCCCAACACCTACTTCAGGTTTATATCTAGCTCAATTTGGCAGCTTCTTTGGATGCAAATATTTGATTCTTTCTTTTTCGCACATGACCAGTCATGGACTTTTCGTAATTAATTTTTTTTGAGAATGCACCTGGACTTCTCTTTTTACTGTTAAATTAATGCTTTGATCAGATGAGCAATTGAGGAGGGATATGACGGTCTTAGACATTTCCGAAAACATGACCCCTAAAAGGAGTTTTCAGGATTAGAGGGTAGACAACAAAGCTACTGTTTTCTAGTTTGTTGTCGACTAGGGGTGGGGACCAGTAGCTAGCAGCCTAGCATAAGTGGTAGCCAGTAGATGGAGAGTAGAGGGTAGAAGGGGAGGAATCGTGAGCCGTCAAAATAGGGTACCAGGGTCGCGACTAGTCTTTCAAACCTTTATTCTCTTCCTTGAACATACTTTTGCTTCTATGTTATGCTTAATATCTTTTAGCTTTAGTGCTTCTTTTCCACATATTCTCTTTTGAACAATTTTTTTTGCGTTCTGTTTTGGTGAACGTTGCAACCTTTCTGAAAAATGTTGTCTTTCTCTCACATACATTTTTCCCAGAGGTGGGTTCTTCATGGAAATAGCCACTCTACTATTTGGCGTAGAGGTCAGATCTGTGTACATCTCACCCTCCCCATACTTCACCTCCGCGTGAGATATATTAGGTTAGTTTGGTTTCATTTGGTTTATTCATGCTTTGCTCGACTTAGAAGTTCCCAGAACAGAAAAGCATTTATGCTACTGTAGCACTAGTAACTTTGAGGAATTATCTACAGTAAGAATGCATGCAATGCTCAAAAGTTTCTATAATATATGACCTTCTATAATCCCACAGCCGTTTTGACTTCCATCTACTTTTTCCAGGTGTCAGCCATACATTATATGAATGGCAGCTCTTACACAAATAGGCTACATGTTAAGTGGATCCTCAGGGCTTAGGCACATATCTTTGTTGATTAAAAGTGTCTGTTTGAAATTAAATGCAACATATGTTGGTATTTTTTAATTACATAACAGTTTCCGAAAAGCAACTCAGTTTAATCTTTGTTAGCTTAGCATGACCGAGATCTCAGGCCACCTGTGGTAGCCTCCTATATGTAGAGAAACATGAATCCTAGAATTTTGAGCAAATGCCTAAAAACACTTTCACAATGGGAAATATTATGTATTTAAGAATTGGCATGTCTAAGGTAAATTCTTGCTTAAAGATCTAAATAATAAATGAAAGAGGATTGAATATACATGTACTTGATCCCAACAGCTGGGACAAAGGACACTGAGTGCCACTGGGTTATCATTTCCATCTTTTATTGTTAGATTACAACTTAGAATATATTCATCTGCTTAAGAACTAAGAAACTGCGAGAGATTGTTAGTCATGCCAATGCAAGTAGCTTGATTGGGAAACTAAGGTTTTCAATGACGGAACCTTTTAGACATAACTATGCTTACGATTTCCAGGCAGGCTCTTAAACGGTTTCCAACATTCATTTCCTTTATTGAGAGCATTATTTAGGAGGTGTCTGGTTTTAAAAGTAGGATATATTATCTGCTTCTACAGATATCCTTATTTTTAGTTCTGTTCCTTCCTTTCCTCTTCATCTTACAAAAGGGCTTTAGGGAACTTTTTAAAGAGGGTGTGCTTAGTTGAATTTTTGTAATGTTCCAAACTTTTCCTCCTAATATCTCTTTCCACCCGGTGATGTGGTTGTACATGCCTTAGTATGAAATTGCATTCTTTATTTTTACTGGAAGTTAACCATTATTTAGAGGCTGTCAAACTTTGTCCTTTGTTGTTTTAACGAAGTAAGGCATGAAGTTCTAAAGTTGGAGCTTGCAGGTGGTGAGGGCTTTAAATTTCTTGCAGAAGGGGAGAGATTCTTGTCAAGGGAAGTGGGAGGCTGTTACAATACCTCGTGGTACACTCCAGGTTTGTTGGTTTCTCCTTTGCCATTTTTATCATGTCCAATTCAATTATGTACCAAATTCTGATGACAATAATATCTATAAGTTGATATCATTATTATCAAGGCACATTTACTGTTATTACCACCAATTTTTTGTTTCTATTTTTGTGATCGGCATTCAAATGATATTTGGGAGTTGCTTTTTTCAATGGGTTCTTCATGATCATCTGAAAAGAGATTATTGCGTTTATGACACTGCCTTTTTATTTATTAGCATGTAGTTTAGTACTATACTATGCATATCTTACTTACTGCATTGAGCTGTTAAGTGTCGACAACACTTGAGAGTATTGCTTAGTGCTGATGCTAATATGATGAAAAATATTGGTTAGATGTACACTTAAGGTCTGAAATTGATTATGGAACAGCGAGATGTGGGTCTTTAATGAACTATGAAGAAGATTATGCCTATGCACAGAGCTAAAACCAGATGAATAAAACTTGACTACAATGGTTGTATTAAAGATTAGCTAGAGCCTACGGTTAATGAGAAAATAATTATGATATAGCTCTACTGCTCTAGAGATTAAAGCAAACTGTTCTGGAATTGTGACAAAAGGGAATTTGGAGTACAAAATTACACTTATATGATTGACTTTGAAATAGACGACTTTTTGGGGAATTCAGAAAGGAACGGAGGAGAATTTTAAGATTTACGCATTGAAAATCTTGTGCATGAACTTCTCCCATTGCCTCATCCAATATTGTCCGAGACTATAATTTTTTTGCTCTTTCCTCATTGCATGGCCTCGGATGCGACCATAAAGTTGATGATAACCTTTGGTGGCAAGTAGATAAGCGGTGTCCCACTTCTTTAAAATCTTATTATAAATCGTTTATTTTGTAGTTAATTTTTTTGCAAGTGTTTTAATGAGTAAATTACTGTGACTATAATGTTCTTGCATCTGGGCACAGTTCAGGATTCAAACTGTTGTATGATATATCTGATATAGGCAACCTTTCTCCACAAAGGATTTGATGAAACCCGCCGACTTGGTCTACAAAGTGAAACAGAGCAGGTCTGTGGTCTTTATTCAACTTTATTTGTTGGTTCTTTTGGAAATAAAGATGTTGAACTTCTCCATTGCCTTATCCAAGTTATTTCTGGATTAGTTGGTTCGCCATGCATCTCCGCTAAGTGAAACTGGGATGCTTGTCGTTGATTCTGTGGTAAGTTCCTTTCCATTTTTGTTGTGAAATCGCTATCTTCTATAGGTTCAGCAGTATGTAATGCCTGATGCCATCATGGGAATGTTGTAGGTGCCAGGTGGCCCAGCTTATAAACATATGGAGCCAGGTGATGTGCTTGTTCGCATGAATGGGGAGGTGTGTATAATCGACCACATTTAGCAATTTCAGTTGATTACATTCATGTTGTTCAACTTTTGCTTATGTTTTTTGTTTTTGGTTCCCCCAAGCTCCGTCCTCATAGTTTTACTTCATTGATTTGAAAAAGGTCTTCCTTTCTCACCAAAATTTAAATTCTCAAACCTGAGAAACGAAGTCATAGGCACATAGGTTCAAGGCCAGACCGACTACTCCAAGAGCACTCATCCATAAACCAGTTACTGGTACAAATAACATAAAGAAATGTAACCAATGTTTATTGGAAAAAGCAACCCCAAAGATTTGGGACCAAAAGCGATTAGCAGTGACCATTGAATAAGTTTCTTCAGTTTGAGTTGGGTTAAAAGCACAGAATGTATTTGCACTTTACAATGAAGTTTATGGGTCAATTGGTTTAGTCCATTCAGATTCATTTAATTTCTTATTTCCATTTTGTGGGTCTCATTCCCAATTTTTAATGGTGCAAGGATTTCTGTATATGGAACTCATTACATGGAGATGAGAAATGAAATGAGGTGGGCAACAGATCGACTCTTACCTTTCTTAGCTCAAAATCCTTTCTATCATAGTACTTTTTTTTCTTCATAAATTAACACATTTACCATTTATTTCTCAATAACCAAAACAATTCTATTCACGTTTGAAGTTAAAAACTAATTTCATTTATCTCTTAAAATTCAGAAGCGGACTCTGTTTTGAACCGAGACATCAATATTAATACTTCAACAGTGGCCATCACTGCCATTATTGACCCTTTATTGTCTTTAATATCTTTGTTGGGGATCATCCACCTTTGTTGTTCAAAAAGAAAAAGAACAATCATTGTCCTCAAGATGGTCAATGTTATGTGAAACTTTCAAATATTGAATTTTGTTTCTGAGGTTCTCAATTATGATGAAGTTCAATTCATGGACTAGGATCCTGGTTAAAAATAGTGTAATGTGAACATTGATGTTATTATAAATAATTTTAATCAGCACATGTTACTAAATATTGTAATTTGATGATTAGTATTTGAACATCAATCAGCATATGTTACTATGGTGGATTTATATACACAGCAAGTGAATTTATGACAAAATAATCTTTAACATCTACTTTAGGTGTTGACTCTTAAAACATTATCTGCAAATTGGTGCTTAAATGAATAAGTCTTCTTGCAGGTGATTACTCAGTTTCTGAGGATGGAGACTTCACTTGATGATAGTGTTGGCCAAAATGTTGAGTTAGAGTTTGAAAGGGGTGGCAGGCCTTTTACCGTTCAGTTGATGGTGGGTGATTGGTGCTTTACATACTTGTTCTATGCTATTTTCTTCATGCCAAGATGTTAAATACATCATGATTCATGACACTAGTCAATCCTGTTTTCTGATACTAATGATCATACCTGTGAAACTAGTTTGTTAAGGACTACCATCATAACTTCTATGCGCGAATGCATATAGTAACGAGCATCTAGTCACATATCCATGATCATATAGCAAAAATTAAATGCTTGCCAATAGCATCTCTACCTTTTCTTAGCAAACAAATGGTCTGAAGCATGATATAGGAAGACCGTCTACAGAAATATGTAGAATTTTTAATAACAATTGCAAGTGTGCTAGAGTATGGAATTGGAATTGTGCATTGGCAACTTAATAGTATTATGTATCTATACCTGTGTCACAGATTGAAGTGTATGTCGAATTGGTTAATGGTTGCCCTATTTTAGTGTGCCATGAAATTAATTGTATACCTGATCAATTGATAATACTCGATTAGAATGTTTGTCAATTGTGCACAGTAATCATGGAATGGAAGGGATATAACTTCTTGTATTGCTGTATAAACTTTTGGATATTATATTGCAGTACACTGACATGACTTGAGAACTGAAAGATCTTCAATTAATTGATAACCCATGTCAGTGATGCATTATTCTGAGGAGTTGTTACTCCTCAGTGAGACCAGTATTCATTAGCAAGTTCAGAAGTAAAAAATTCAAGCTATAGGTATTCATCTTCTTTCAAATATATAAGATACAGTTAATATGTGAAAAAGCACACAAGTTTCCCTGTATTAGATGGCAATGGTGAAAACAGGAATGACAGTAAATTTTAGGTGTCAATGATATGAGAACCACAATAGCATCTCCAGAAGAAATGGATAACTCTGACTTAGTCGGGTTGGATATATCAGGTCAAATGATTTGGGGAAGTTCTGTATATTTGTTGCATAAGTCATATAAAATTTATGGGAAATAATATAAACCTCTTGTGGATTGATTTGTTCTCTCTCTCTCTCTCATTCTCTGGAAATTTGTATCTGCTTGCAGTTAAGTTATTTGATATTGATGAATTGAACAAAATGTTATAAATTTGTTTGGACAAACTTATTTCACCGTATGACAGTACTATAGAAATGTGAAGTTCATTGTGAACTGTAATTCTTCGGCCTTCATCTTGAAACATGAAAGCACATGGATCCGTCTAGATATATGGGCAGTAGCTATTATGAGAAAGTAAAACTTTCTTCGTTGATGGTTTTGTCTTTTATAACCATATAATCATTTCATATGGGGCATAGGGAGTATGTCTTAGTACTGTGTTCGGGGAAGAAGGAACAGTACCCGGCTTACTCTTTTAGAATTTAATGTGTAATGGCCAAGTGATTTGAGCATTTACCATTTTGGTCAAAAGTATAGTGAATAAATGCTTTTGCCTCTTTGGGCTGTATGCCCATTGTTAGAGTCCCACATCGGCTAGGCTTGGACCAATTCTCTATATATGTTGGAACCTCCTTTCTCTCCTTTAGGGCTCTTTTGGAGAGTAATATAATGGGGTCCACATATATTCTCACATGGTATAGAGACAAGGTCCACCACTCCAGGGACTTGATACTCTGGGTCAATCTGCACATGTCTAGCCCCCTCTCGACACTCTGGGACAACTGTGTCCATCCAGCCTCCTGGAGGGGGCGTGTCAGATGCCACATCGGCTAGACTTGGACCATTTCTCTATATATGTTGGAACCTCCCTTCTCTCCTCTAGGGATCTTTTGGAGATAAATCTGAGGTTCCACATATTCTCACACCCATAATTGTTAGCCCAAGTGCCATTGTTTTATCTTTTACCATTGTATCAAGTTGCATCCCCTTAACAGGGTTAATTATTGTGTGCTCAGGCTCAGTTGATGTGTGGTAAACAAAAGATTTTTGGCATCAACCAGCTTGTTCAATTCTTAGTGTATTAGGACTATCTGCAAATAGGCCCTGTAAAATCTGTAGAACCATTATTTTGCTGCAGCTCTAATTCAAGCTCAATAACTGACATTTTCTTTGACATTATGCTCTGCAGTCATTTATTGTTGCAAGTTTAATTTGTTCTCTATATGCTTTATTCAGGTTCAGGATTTACACTCCATAACTCCAAACTACTTCTTGGAAGTTAGTGGTGCAGTAATACACCCTCTCTCCTATCAACAGGTTGGTTTGATCATCTTCTACTGGTTTATGTCATTCTCTATTGGAAAGTGTGCTTTTATGGTATTCTAAGCAGGGATGTAGCTGTTGAAAACAATTTTTTCTTTTGGTGCGCCATGATCGTTACATAAGAACGAATTAAGTACTTAGCAGGCTTCCAATGCTATGGATGGTCTTTACATCTACTTCCTTTACCTAAATGTTGTCCGAGTCTCATGGAAAAGCACATGCCACTCAGATAACATGCAGTAGTCTAAGTGTCGATGGTCTTTTTCTTGTTTGAACTTGGATCATATTCTCATTATGTTATATTAGCTGATGTCATCTTGTATGTTCCGACTTTCCAAAAAGTCGATAAAACTTTATGATGAATTTTAGTATGTCTCCACAATCATATAATGTTACTCAGGGATAGTTATTGCCTTTTGATGATGCTGTCAATCCTATCATGACCATCTTTCCTTCTTAACAGGCTAGGAATTTCCGTTTTCACTGTGGTCTTGTCTATGTCTCAGAACCTGGGTAAGTTCTTTGATAGACTCCAATAAAGTAAAATTTCTTTCTTTCTCTAGTTCATTAATGATGTTAATATAACACTTTTGGGTTTTGATCGTCAATCTGAACAGTATGTGTGGAGGTTTCTCTTTTGCTTTTGCTTCTGGACAGGAATATTGCACCATTTTTTATTTGTATGCTCATCCGAATATGCTTATGTACACCTGCAGTTACATGCTTTTTAGAGCTGGAGTTCCTAGGCATGCCATTATCAAGAAGTTTGCTGGTGAAGACATTTCACATCTTGAAGACTTCGTCAATGTTCTATCTAAGCTCTCCAGAGGAGCTAGAGTTCCACTAGAATACATAAGCTATTTGGATCGCCATAGGAAGAAGGTAATGACTAAAGCTTTCAAGAACCATCATTTGAAGTCTTATAACTTCTCCCTGTTAGAATTAGAGACTTCTCCTTTGACATCTGTGTTTATTTACTATTTAGTTTCTCTTTACTACTGCTACCTAGGGCGTTGGTTAAGAGACTATATCTTTGGTTTGTCAAAGGAGATATCACTGAGATTATTCGATGCTTCTTCTGAGAAAATTAATTGCAGATGAACCTTGTGAAAAGCTTTCATATACTATTTTGTTGATCTGAAAGCCTGGTAGGAGTACAAAATTAAAATCAGATGAACCTTATGAAAAGCTTTTATACACTATATATATAATATATATGTATGTATATACGTACGTATGTATGTAGATATGCATGTAGATGTGTGTGTGTGTGTATAATATGTAGATATGTATATGTACTTATGTAGCATGTATGTATGCATATCCTAAAGAGAAGCATATTGCAAGAATTTTGAGGTGAAACAATGCTACAAAATACTAGTCTTATCAGAATCATCACTCCTAGAACTGCGAAAATTTTGTAAATGAATCGTAGCCCACTTAATTTTGGAGGAACAAATATTCAAATAGGCTCAGTAGTTGGTATTTCCGGTTTTATAAATTACGTTGTCATTATTCTTGGGCACAGTGATTGTTTTTGCATGCTTGTTAAGGGTTTTTGCAAGTCTTGGCCTTCTGCATCTGATGCATTTTTATTTACTGCCTTTTATGGTTCTGAAAACAGAACTAGTTCAATTTGACTACAAACAATTCTATGTTCCATTTGACTCCTATCCATACCGTGTGCTTCGGGGTTATTCACTGTTTCAGGCTTCAAAAGAAAGATTAGTTTCACGAGTTTTCACTTTCCATTCCTCTTGGGACAACATAGTTTTCATGTGTCTTCTCTGGCACCCAGGAAGGTTTTGCTGGATAGAAATAGATTTGGCAATAGTGTCAGGACAAAGAAATGACTAGAATAGGACTAGGATCATTTCCTTGGCTTCACATCCAAGATAACATAAGCTTCATACATAAGTATAGATACATCGGCTCAAATCAAATTTTTAAAAATCTTTTAGTTGTTGGTTTCATACAAATGGAAATCCATGGCTTCTGAGGAGGCTTCAGGAACCACAGAAACAATACATCCCCTATATTGGAGAAACCAGGTTATGATATATTTATAGTAATTCAACTAATAAGTTGAATAATACAACTTTTAGGGGCCGTTTACCAACGTTAACCGGGTAAGCGCTTACCAGGTAAGAGTCACCACCCTCACGTTACCGGGTAAGATTCTCGGCCATCAAAATGGCATAGTAAAATTGTGGGTAAGCATCTGTTACCCGGTAAGCCTTAACCGGGTAAGAGTCACCACCCTCACTTACCGGGTAAGATTCTCGGCCCTTGCCATGCTCACCCGGTAAAGTAGTGACACAGTAAGCTCTTACCCAGTTAGCGTTTACGACCCTTGAACTCAGAAGTGCGGCAATCAAAAAAGCAAAACCTGATAATCGAAGTCCATCAACAGAGCAGCCCATATCGCCCAGATGTGTCTTGATTATGTAGTTTATGGTCAGCTCAACATCAATGTCAGATTCTTGTATAATAGAATCATAGATAGAAGCATATTGCAGTCTTTTTGTGAGCTTCAGGTTACGTTTATGATCCATGTCAGTCTTTCAACATTATTTTATGAGAGATTTTCTTTTGGACTTGTGAATGTTCTTTAGCAAGTGTTGCTGGAGGATTGACTTGTATTTAAACAATATCATAGCATCACGTGATCAAATTAATATAGCAATAAATCCTAAATGTCTTGCATATTGTTCGGACCTTCGTGCTTTCATTTTTCTTCGTTCGTAGTTTTTAGTCGACGTCGCAAGGACTAATTATCCATGCAAGTGTTGGTGTTTCAGAACAAAGTCAACCCTTTTATGACACTGGCTACTCAGCATGTTCTTTTTGTCTCCACCTTTATGTATACATATGCACTTCTGTGTCCTATTTGAATATATACACCATCGTGTGTTTAAATTCTCAAAAGTTGAGATGGTGGATCTCTTATGACTTTCTTTTGGTTGCAGTCTGTCCTTGTTACAGTGGATCGCCATGAGTGGTATGCACCCCCTCAGATATATACTCGTGATGATAATTCTGGTATTTGGATAGGAAAGCAAGCTTTGCTTCCCAATTCCCAACTTATATCTTCTGGCATCAAAGTTATTGAACAAGGGCTGACAAGCAATATAGTTCTAGAAAATCGTCTTGTTGAACCCCTGCACCAAGATATTGGTGAAGAACTGGTTAATGGTGTTGCCAGTATGGACACTAGTAGCTCTGATCATGTTACTGATGAACCACATGTTCAAGAGGAATCCGACAATGGAACAAAAAAGCGCAGAGTGGAGGAAGATCTGTCTGCTGACGGAATTGTGATTGCTGACTTAAATGGCCTACCACAATTTGAGCAGCTGGAAGATCCAAGATCTCCAGGAGATACAGTAGTGAGAGACGAGCATGGTACATCAGCCGACTCTGGTAATGCTTCTGTCGCTGAGCGTGTAATAGAGCCCACTCTTGTCATGTTTGAGGTAAATTTCTTCAGAACTTGGTCATTGTTCATGTATTTTCTGCGGCTGATGCTATATTTGGATTCTTGGTATATAAGTTTATTTCTGGTTTTCATATGATTTTTTATACAATGTGAAATAACACCCTTAATTACGTCTGACTGAACTGAAAGATGTTTGAGGGAAGTCGAAAGATGGAGCAATGAGGAACATGAGTAGGTTATGCTGCCTGCCTGCAACTATTATTCAAATTTCATCTCTTCACCTCGGATTTGGAGTATAACCTGTGCAGGGTGTAGGCATGTAGCACTGTAAAAAAAATGTTCCAAGAACTTCCTCATTTATGTTCAATAACTCTTTTAAGTTTGTGTTATACCCTGGAAGCCTAGCTGCTATAGAGGCAATAGTTGTTTTAACTAGGACGCAATAGCTAGGTATAGGGGGAATATAGGAATTGTAAGTATATTGTTACAAAGGGTTAAAGAGAATAGTATCAGCGGGTGGTCTGTTAAATAGGTGAGAGGGTAGCAGGAGAGGGATATCTGATTTGTGAGTTGTTTGGCATGAGCCTAGAAGATATCTGACACTCGAGAAATATTGTGAACCCTTGTTTCCATTTCTGAATTTGTAAGCTTACAATCATAAGAAATTGTTGAGCAAAAGTTCACAGCATTTCAAGAGTGTCGGATCTCTCCCGGGCTCATGCCAAACAACTCACATATCTGATATTCCTCTCTGACTACCCTCTCACCTATTTAACAGATGACCCACTAATACTATTTCCTTTTATCCCCTTGTAACAATATACTCACAATTCCTATATGCCCATATCCCTCTTAACTAGCTATTGCATCCTTATTGATCTACTATCGACTCTATAATAGCTTTGCTTCCAGGGTATAACAGTTTGATTATTGCTGGTCTATCGCATGCATCCCCAGCTTGTCAGGGAGACTTCTCTTGAATTCAAATACATGAATCCTCCATAAATATTGTTAGGTCGTCGAGCACATGTATAGAGTGGGGGTGGAGCAATGGTAAGAGTATCTAACTATCCATCCACTCTCCTTGGGTATGAACTTCTAGATCAACCTTAGCTGGGACTGGGATGACCCAGATTCGAATCACTTTCTCAACCGACTCCTTGCAAAACTTCTGGGTCTGCCAGCTAACTTCCTGTGTACTTCAGAGTTCAGGGCCTACTTTTACTGACATGTGTCTTCTTTCTCTGCACCCACTTTTCTCAACTTATGGTCCTTCGGAATCTGATCTTGCTCTGACGTTTGTTCATCACCTTAAATGACGTCTCTTTCACTGCTCAAGTAAGCTTCCTGTTTCCCAGCCTCAGCCTGACCTTCGTGTGCCATCTAACTGAATGTGCTTCCTATCAATCTGTAGCAATTACCTATCGTTAAGCCTCCATTACGCACACACAACGAAGTATGAACCAGATATTGAGTTTACGTGGAAAATCTATTTGGAAAAACACGGGGCGAGTAACAATAGCTTACAATGCATAACAATAGCATCACTATTTGTTTGGGCCAACCATTTAACCAGTTGACTTCTAGTTGTGTGCCACCAGCACCAAACTAGAGTTGCACATACACATATCAATGTTTAGCTCATGTTAGAAATATGGGTTTAAGGATTAGATATCGATGAAAAGAACTTGGCTCGTAATATGGATCCTGAACAGAAACACTGTTCATAGGTAATATTTTGTCCTTATTTCAGCCTTGGGGTATCACGAATCCGAATACGCACTCTAGAATTGAAGGCAAATCAAGAGCAAAAATGCACAGAGATTTTTATCTTCTCTCTTATATTAAATTGAGATCGAAAACACCATTAAATAGGTAGCTACTCACTAGTTAATTTGGGCGGTTAATTAGTTATGTAAAGATAAGGTCAGTTATCAAAATAACTACCAAGGATAAGATCAAGAAACCATTATTGCCTAAAGCTCAGGATACTAGCCTTCTGAGACTAAGTCACGCCATTTGAAGATTCAGCCTTCTGAATTACAGATGAAGTGGACTCGGCTTTTTGAAGCTAATTTCTGGAAACATACTTGGTTTTCAGAAGTTTAAGAAGCCTTGTGGACTTGGTCTTCTGAACCAAGGCCACGCCTTGTGACTTTTCCTTCTAGATATGATCTAGAAACGGTTATTGCACTAAAGTTCAGAAGGGATCACCACCAGGGGCGCTGCCCCTAGAACCCTGCAAGGGAGTGCGCCTCCTTGACCCCCTCCTTATCGTGACATCCAGCGGTCCCAGGTTCTAGTTAGCTATACAAGTGTACACTCTGCACCTTCTAACTCATATTATAGCTTAACCAATAAACCCATTGATCTCATGTAAATCACAACTACATTATGCATGATGACATTAAAATCACAAACAGTTTAGGGCCATACTAACTAGCTGATTTTGGTACCTCACTGGTACTTCACAAACTGTCTAACCCACCTACAAGGTGACTGAGGATCCTTCTATATGATCTCTTGGATATGCATATGTTCTAGTGTATTTGTCAATGTTAGCTTGATAAGACCTATCTAGTGTTTCTACAGAACTCTTAACAATTAGCTGCGGCCCTGTGAATGAATCCAACGATATTGAATATAGGACTCTCAGACAAATATGTTGCATCTTACAAGGGCTGCTATTGTTTCTGATATGGAACGAATTTCTTTCACTCTACTGCCTCTAATAATATTTTATTTGATTGAGTTTTTGTACAGTTTTGATATGTTCTCAATTCTCATAGGATATTTCTTGGTTACTGACTTTTCAGGTTTATGTACCATCATCATGCATGCTTGATGGTGTTCACTCGCAGCATTTTGTTGGGACTGGTGTGATTATATATCATTCTGAAGAAATGGGATTGGTTGCAGTGGACAAGAATACTGTTGCTATATCAGCATCAGATGTGATGCTATCTTTTGCTGCCTTTCCAATTGAAATTCCTGGGGAGGTATGAAACAGAGACATAACACAGCTAACTGTTTATCTGTCCTTATTTTTGTGTACTTAGTAGATGAATAGAACGGGGTGACTGTTCTTCTTCTCATTGAATATGCCTAGTATTTTTCAGGTGGTCTTTCTCCATCCTGTTCACAACTATGCTATTATTGCATATGACCCTTCTGCACTCGGAGCTACTGGTGCTTCAGTAGTGCGAGCTGCCGAACTTCTTACTGGTAGGCAAACTTCTTGGTGAATCAGGTGTCAAATGTCACATTTCATTGGTTGCTTGTATATTGTGTATTTTTTTCTGCTGGTTAATCTCTTTAGTTTCTTCTATAGCTAATCTTCATAGATAGGGTGTAAGAGAGGCTTTGGGTTTAAAATCCTGTTTAAAAAATCTATATTATTTGAAGCAGTTAGCGTGCACCTAAAATTATCAGGTTGATATAGTTGAACTTAATAAAACTCTGCGTTTGGTTGTATTATAGGAATGAGACTCTAACAAGCTGCTATGTCGGAGATCTCTGTGAAAATATGGTTAAATAAATATCTTGTATTCCTAGTGAGAGTCATATGGGGCCTAAACAGATGAACATAAGAAACCCTAGTTTTAATCCATCTCCTAACACTCCTCAAGTTAGAGAAGATATCAACCATTACGAAGTTGGCAAGCCAAGCAGTGAACATTTTTAGAAGAGAAAAGCTGATAGAACAGAAATCAGGCTGAAACAAAGAGGAAAGGAAACTATAACTGATTGCTACAGTAGATTGTGGTCTGGATGATGACTTCTTACTGGATGGCCTGGATGCCTCCTTTAGGCCGGTGTGGATGGTTCCTCATGACTCTCCCTCTATCCTCCTAAAAGAGAAATCTTACATATATAAGGTCAAGTGTTATTTGTGGCCTTATGGGGACTGTATTTTAACCGCATTCATCATGCCAAATGTGCTTCAGTGCACTGAAAGGCTGTACAAGAACCTGGGTGGCAGCTTTATGTTTCTTATCTGTTTTTCTTGTTTATTGTGTTCCCCTTCCTATCCTAACTACTTATACCAAATGAATTGATGAGATGCTTTCTCTTTCTATTATACTAAAGGAATTTAAATTTCCATTATGTGATAGAACCTGCATTGCATCGTGGAGAGACAGTCTATCTTGTGGGGTTAAGTAGGAGCTTACAAGCAACATCTAGAAAATCTGTTGTTACCAACCCATTTGCAGCTCTAAACATCAGCTCAGCTGATTCTCCACGTTACAGAGCTACCAACATGGAAGTAATAGAGCTTGACACTGGTACATTGTTGAATCCACTGTTTGCATGCATCTTAAAATACATTGATTTTGATTGAGTAGTTATATATCTTGCTGTATGCAGACTTCGGTAGCAGTTTTTCAGGAGTGCTTACTGATGAGCATGGAAGAGTTAAAGCTATATGGGGGAGCTTTTCGACTCAGGTTTGTACTAATCATCGGTCAAAAAAGAAAAGGAAGGTTGGTACTCTTTAGTCCATTTTAGCTGTTAGAAGGTTGACTAAAAGTTGATGGCTAAATCTTGCTTGCAGCTGAAATATGGCTTGAGTTCATCTGAAGACCATCAATTTGTCAGAGGTATTCCTATATATTCAATCAGTCAGGTTCTCAAAAAAATCATATCAGGTACAGAAGCACCATCCCTTCTTATAAATGGTATCAAAAGACCGATGCCTCTGGTCAGGATATTGGAGGTTGAGCTTTATCCTACTTTACTCTCGAAGGCTAGAAGTTTTGGGCTCAGCAACAATTGGATCCAAGTATGCTTCTCACCTTGTGTTTCTTCTGGTCCCTTTTTGTCTAAAACACATTTGTATTGTTATGTTCAAGTTTATTTCTTATCTTCATATATGATAATTTGCTCTTTGGATATCCTGAAGCAAATAATTATTTTCTATTATGATTTAACAAAAGCTAACCTGTTTCTGGAATTTTGGTTGTGGGTTTTCTCATCTTTCTTCACCACTTCCTTCATTTTAAAATTAGATTGACAACTTTTAAGGATACCATGATGATTCTATATATAACCCTGAAATTGGCCAAGAATCTAATAATAATGTGTGACGCGAGAAGCTATTTCAATTGGAATCGCTAGATACAAAGCCGGTCGCAAGGCCTAGCACACGCCTCCTACATCCTGGCTTTACGACAGCCGTGTGAGAATACATAGGCAGTGTTAGGTGTGATCAAGTCAGAAACAACCATTCTACTCTTTTGGCAGAAGACATGTCTACGTAAATCCTGCCCCCCATACCCCACCTCTGGGTGGGATATACTGGGTTCATTTGGTTTGGTATGGTTAGGTGTGATATTCCAAGTGATAATTATGAAAGCCATGGAAAATAGAGAATATCATGATGCTTTTATTTGTGAAACGGAAATGCATCAATGTCATGTGTCAACAATATTCCCTGGATATGAAAATGTGGCCATGTCTGATTTTTGCTAGGGAACTCTTGATACTTGTGATGTTCATCAAGGATTTGTATCACTATTTGTAAAATGTTGCATATTTCATCTAACAATCTACGCATGATGTTACAGAAAACTTGGTAAAATATGCACAAGTTCATATTTTCATAAATTTGTCGACTCTTGCTCACAGGCTCTTGCGAAAAAGGATCCCGTTAGACGTCAAGTTCTGCGCGTCAAAGGTTGCTTGGCAGGGTCAAAGGCTGAGAATTTATTAGAACAAGGCGATATGGTCTTGGCAATCAATAAAAAGCCAGTTACATGCTTTCATGATTTTGAAGATGCATGCCATGCCTTGGATCTCTCTGATGGCATGGAAGAGAAACTTGGATTGACCATCTTTCGTCAGGTCACCCTATACAGCTGTTCAATCAAATATATTACTTTGTGCCATCATCCACATATCCAGGAAGTAATGTGGTTGATATTGAGTATTCTTCTTTGTGGTCTCTCAGGGACGCGAAATCGAGCTTCTTGTGGGAACAGATATAAGAGATGGCAATGGTACCACACGTGTAATTAATTGGTGTGGATGTTTCGTACAGGATCCTCATCCAGCTGTGCGTGCCCTCGGGTTTCTGCCTGAAGAAGGCCATGGTGTATATGTGACAAGGTATGGGTTAGACTCGACGCGAAATGCAGTCTCTTTCTGTTAGACTTGTATAGTGAGCATCATTATTTAAGTATATATAATATTTATGTATAGCAAAATTCTCACGCTCCTCACTTTTGGTTAGACCTGAACCTTGACCTCCAAGAAGGTTGGGATCTACCGGTAACCCAAGTACCGTTGGGCTATTAACCCAACGACGAGCATCATTATCGTGGCAGGAACATAGGTAATCCCTTGAGCAGTGCTTGCTCATATGTTGCTACCATACTAGCTAAAGTGAGAATCAGGCAGGGTATGGTTATTTTTAAACCCTAATGCACGATCAAACCAGACCAATACGTCCGACCAGGGTGGATTCTTTTTTTTTTTTTTCTCAATATATAATATTTATATATGATAAATAAAACAAATAAACTTATACACTTTTTTTTTTTTTGGGGGGGGGGGGGGATGCATACCTGACCTCTACCCAAATATTAGAGTGCCTGTTTCCCTGAAGACCCTAGGCTTGTGCAAAGTGTGCAAAAAGAAAGTATAAATCTTGCTAATTTTTTTTGCAAAAATTGAATATAAGAACACCCTAAAGCACGACCATTAATTTTTATTCAGGGTTGGTCAAAGTGCTACTTACACTGATCTTGGAACATGCATGTCTTTAATTAGTTTCAACAAAGAATCTACTCTCTTTCGAAATTTGCAGGTGGTCTCATGGGAGTCCTGTGCATAGATATGGTTTATATGCTCTTCAATGGATTGTGGAAGTTAATGGAAAACCAACTCCAGACTTGGATGCTTTTGTTAATGTCACAAAGGTACAACTGTTCTATTCATCAAGGGTCATTTTGGTGTAGGTGTCAGGTGTTCTATCTGTAATTAGAGGTTCAAATTTAATCAATCTATAATGTCTTGGGATTTGTCATAGTATGAATGCATAATGGACGAATACTATATCAGAAAATTGGCATAACAAAAATATTCGTCCCATTTGGTCATCCATAAGCTAGCTTTTTGAAAAGCTCTTCGAGATAGCATTTCAATAAGCACCTGGGCTTTTTCCACTTTTTTTTTAAATGATGCCCCTTGTATTTTACCAATTAGTTTTCTTAACATTTCCTTTTATGTCATTTTACATTGTCATCTAGCTTATCCGTTAGTTTACCGAACATAGCTGTAGAATATATTTCAGAGGCTATCAGTGATGTTCATACTCTCAGCCTGCTTTCTAGTTCTTCAACATTCCCCATATTTTGTTTGTACATATGCAAGCAACCCGTTCATATGTGGGTGCTATATTTATTGTTTGTTCTTTCTACCTATGGCAAACTCGAAGAGGATTCTAACCTATGACCTCCAAGTACTTTTGATTGGTTGTTCTTTATTCAACTGATATCCGTGTATTTCATATAACGTACAGGAAATCAATGATGGAGAATTTGTTCGTGTAAAGACAGTCCACCTAAATGGGAAGCCACGAGTGCTGACACTGAAACAGGATTTGCACTACTGGCCTACATGGGAGCTGAGATTTGATCCTGAAACTGCAATGTGGCAGCGGAAAACAATTAAGTCATTAGGAACAGGAAATAGTCCATGAACACCAGATTCGTACTGAATCAGAATAATACAAGATGGCGGGTTTCTAGCTGTTGTATTCAAGATTCTGAGCTGCTGCTATACATGGGTTGATTTATACAAGTGAATGACTATATAAGGTAAGGGTACTACCATCTCTTTCCCTATTTATTCGATTGTTTCTGAGGTTGGCTCGATTCACAGCCTCCAGAGATGTAAAACATTGTGATACATAACAGTGTAAAAAGGTCAAAGAAAATTACTTCCAAACATGTGATGGATACAAACTGGAATGGATAATTTGTGTTTCTGTTTTGAGGTTTTCTTGCGTTTTGAATTCAGGGTTTTTGTTTGTTTAGTCTCTTTAGTTTCACGTTTTGGATTGAATGGTTATGATGATTCAGATGGTTTCGTGCTATGGAGAAGAAAGGTGACAAAAAAAAAGACTATATGTTCAAAGACACCAAACTGAATCAACTATGTGGTCGTTTACCAAACGTTCACCGGGTAAGCACTTACCAGGTGTCACTTTCACTTACCTTATTAGATGAGCATGGTAAAGAGTGAGAATTGCATAGCAAGTACTAAGAGTCTTAGCCAACAAGTGGGAGAGAAGACTCTTACCCAATAAGCACTTGTCAGGTAAAAGGAGGCTACATTTTGATGGCCAAGAACGTTACTAGATTGGCTGATAAAAGTGAGTATGATGACTATTGCACAGGTTACATGGGACAAAAACCCAATTTTAATTGGATCAAACTAGAGCTTTTTTGTTCCATCCAAAAAGGTGGAACAACATTAGACAAAAATAGAAAGTTACTATTTTAACCCCCTAAGTCCTAACACAACAAAATCTAAATTACTATATATATATATGGAGAGAGAGAGGGGGTAGGTAGGATCTTTTGTTAACCGAATAAAATGATGTTAACTTTGTAAATTTAAATGAACTAATAAGCAACAAGATACATTTTTGGTTGATACACATAATGAATTTATTTAATGAGAGTAAAAATGTAATTCTCTATTTGATACTTCTTTTAATGCAAATTAATTGTCTGTTATATTTTTCAATTATTCCATTATTCTTGTCATTGTTATTATTAGGCGATCAGTTAATCAAATTATAAATGTTATATTATCAAACTAACCACTTTTCTTGTCTGGTTTCACAACTAAAACATAGCAAAATAACAAGTCTTTAGAAACACCAAATCCACTCAACATACTTTTCTTGGCAAAAGGATATCCAAATTCACCTATCTTCATTAAAAAAAGAAGAGATTGATTGGCAATAAAAACTGATCTCTGAATCAAGACTCAAATAATCAAGAATTTGCATTATGAACCATTGAAATCCAATTATTTCCCAATAATTGTACACTGACAATAGAGGACTGTAACAATTGTAATATAAGCTTTAACAAAAACCAAACCAATTTACCCAAAAAAGAGAGAGTAGTAGATAGGTTATTTCTGAACTATATAAAGAAAAAGATTGTGAGTTACCCTACAAGAATTCTGAAGGAGAGTTGGCATCTGGCTTCCCATTTTCATCCAATCCCCCTGGATGCTGCAAAACCTGAGGACCCAAAGTTCCCAACCCATCACTTGCTGACCCCAAAAACTGGCAAAAAAACCTAGCCATGACTCCAAGAATCTGCATTTGGTTCTGGCAAGCATTAGCATGCAACTGCATCATCTGTTTCTCATGTTCCATTTGCATTCTCACCATCTTCTCCCTCCAATTCATCTCCTCCTCCTCCCACTTCTCCTCCACCGCCATCCGCCGCTGCCTCTCCTCCTCAACCTCCATTTCTAACCTCATCCTGCTTTCACTTTCCCTTCTTGCCCACACCAATTGCCTATCTTCATACTCCAATTCTTGAATCTTTCCTTCTTCTTCCCTCTCTCTTCCCTTCTTCTCTCTCTCTCTCTTCCTTTCTTCTCTCTCTAAAACACCCTCTTCTCTCCTCCACTCTCTCTCCCTTCTCTTCTCTTCTCTCCTCATCACAACATCTCTCAATTCCATCATTTGAGCACCCACTAACCCTATCATCCTCCCACCAATCCCCTTTCTCAATTTCTTCACATGAACAGAACCTGAATCATCACTCTCATCCTCCTTCTCCACCCCTAGTTCTGTATCAATGGCAGCTGTATCGTCATTACCACCACCTAATTCACCATTGCCATCATCTTCTTCTTCATCATTTTGCAATTCCTCAAATCCAAATCCAAAATACTCATCTCCGCCATTACGTGAATAGCCATAACCGGAATCCCCAAATACATCATCACCTAAGTCATTGCACCTCTTATTATCTTTAGATTCAAGCTCGATATCGCCGAAAACCTCCTTGTACTTCATGAAATTCTCCCAATGATTCTCACCGTCCTTCCAGTTATACTCGCTATCGGAAACCCTAATTTTTTGCTTCACTCCTAAGTACTGGTGACGCATGTTTTGGACTTTGATCGATACGTCACGCCATGACCACTTGAAAGGGAAGTTCATCGGATCACGGAGGTGGTGCACGGAGTTAACATGTTCGGCGATTGGCTTGAATTTCTTTTCTCTGGTTTTTAGCTTGGCAAGGGTTCCAGAGTTGTGGAGGTCGGAGTATTTGGCGAGAAGCGTTTGTTCTTCAAGCTCTGACCACTTCTTGCGCTTCATTGATCTTCCACCGGCGGTTAATCGGAAAACTGCGAACTTGTTACGGTTTCATTGGCCGGAGGAGCGAAAATTGGGGGAGGTGTCAGAAATCATTAGAGATAGGTTGGGGAAGATCAAATGTGTCTCAATCTACTTGATGAATTCAAAATAGACAAAAGTAGTCCCTCAATTTTCATTGCTTTTCCATTTATATGCTCAAATAAAAATAAGTTATTAATCAAGGACACACGTGTCAACCGTTAACATATCCAAACCGGTCGGTTTATTGGATAAAAATCTCTTTTCCTAATTTTTCACGTAAAAGTTTTGGGTTTGTTCTTTATGGCTAATCTGTTTGAGTCCTTTCAGGGCTTGAAAGTTTGTCAGACTGTTAACTTTAAGGTCTCATGAAATTAATCAAGGTACACACAAGTTGTCATAGACATCTACGGTTATCTTTTAAAAAAAAAAGGTTATATCTTATAAATGTAAAAATGTCACATAATCCAACCGACTAATATGGATTTCGGGTGGAATGGAGTTAAATAGACAACGTTTAAAAAACCCAATTTCATTTTATGTAATGAACGGTTTGATGACTCTATATTCAGTGCCTTAAGGGCAAAATCAAATGATGGCACGTATGAAGATGTGTTGAGCCTCTATCAGATTAGAAGATCTGATGTTTGACAAACAATGTAATAAATAGTTAGCCAATTGGGTTAACTAAAAAGATGTGTTCTTTAGAGGCACTTTCAGATGATATAAATTAGTTGATAAGCATGTACCAGTTGATAGAACATTTGTCATTGGTGAAGCTAAGAAAACAACTCTACTGACATATGGTTTGATAGTCTATCAAATGAAGATAGGAGCGGATGCTAATAGGTAAGTGGATCATTCCAATCAACATACATGCGTTGAAACATGGTGAAGGTATTAGATTGTAAGCTTAACACCTGATCAACCTAAGTTTATTCACATGTGTCAGATGATCCTAACCAGCTGATGAAGCCACTAACAGATAAGTTGGACCGTCAGTTGAAGAATCAACATCTGACGATGTACCTGTCTCCGGTGTCAAAGGTACATTCGCGTTCCCGTTACAAAGTGTTGTTGTTCTCAATATTCAACCCAAAAAGGACAACAAGCATGCTTAGCATTTAATACATTGTGGTATGTATTAAATGCATTATGGGTATGGTTGCTACAACTTACGAGATATGCAACACAGTGGCTCTGATGAACATGGTAAAACAAACAATAAAAGGATACCCTTCTCACCATTTGTCTTCATGAAAGTTGTTCAACAAAGTGATGTTGCGTATAAATACCAATGAAGACCTTGAAGTTTCGTACACTAAAAAACAAGCTCAAATAGAATATCTTGCTATTTTTCTAAGTCTTAGGTGGCATTTTGTTTTTTAGAAGTTACGAAGTTTGAAGTCTTGTTTTCATTTCTGAATAATAAGATGCGATGCTGAAGTCTGAAAACAGGATCAATAATACTGTTTGTTTTTGTAAAATTACAAATGTCTGAATGTGTATAATTCCACTGCACTCGTAAATATTACATAAATTACATCTAAATTATAAAATTAGCAATCCATACCCAAATATGTTATTGTCCATTTTTGACACATTAAAATTCAATTTTCTTAAATAATTAATAATCAGATGTATCACCTACCGTGGCTATAATTATCATTATCTTATTGGATAACTGTTACATATCCTTGATAAATCACATTTTCCAATAATACTATAGTTGCCGAAGCATTTGAATAGTTGATTCATGAATTAATTTATGGATTCTGTAAAATAAAATATCAAATTACAGTTAATAATTTAAACAAAATTAAGATATGTCATGATATAGGAAGTTGTATTTAATTAAACGTATATTATTAAATTACATTTAATAATATTTATGTGTCAATTTATGATTGTTAAAGATT